GCGAGGCCGGCCGGCCGCCCGGAGCGCCGCTCTCGCTCGCCGCGGCCGGTACCTGCCCAGCTCCTCGGCCTCCATGCCCGGGCCGGCGCCGCAGCCGGGCGCGCTATTGTCAGGGCGGGCAGAGCGGAGCGCGACCCCCTCCCCCTCCTCAGCCCTCTCAGCCGCCCCAACCGACCTGCCGGGCCGCGCCGCGTCACGTGGGTGGCGACAGCCAATGGCGAGCGAGCCGGGTGCGGCGTTAAGCGTGGGGGGAGGAAGCGTAGGCGCCGAGGGGAGCCGGAAGCGCCATTGCCTCAGGCTCGGTACATGCAGATCCGCCGAGGGCCTCCGACACCTCRCACACCCGCTCGGGCGGGAAGACCTAGGCCAAGCGCGGGCGGCGGCGGCAGCGCTTCCGCCACCCTGGTGCACCCCCCCTCCCAACACAGAGCCGGTTGGGCCGCGCTGCCCCGCCCCCGCGCAACGGCTGCTCGCGCGCGGCAGTGACGCACATCCGGCGGTGACGCCAACGGCCGCCGCGGGCGGTTGGTGTGAGGCGCGTGCGCGGCCGCCATCGCCGCCTGCTCTGGTGCTGGGCGGCCATGCCCGCCGGCGTGTCCTGGCCCACCTACCTGCGCACGCTGGGCGCCAGCCTGCTCGCCATGTTCGCGGGCGCCGAGCTCGTGCACAGATACTACAGGCCGGACCTCGTAAGTGCGCGCCGAGCAGGGGCTTCTGTGCGGCCCTTGCCGAAAAGACCCCGTGGTTCTGCTGCCAAAGACTGCAAACAAACGAAAAAAATGCAACTAATACTTAGTTTAGGAGCAAGAGGCGAACGGGTATGGGGTACCTTAAGTTTTCGCTTTGTAGCCTCCAGAGTGTTACAGATGAAGAGTGTTACACAAAAAAACGTAGCTGCATACAATTCTTCAGAAGAGGTTTTGTTTGTGGGAAGCTTTTCAGAAAGAGATGTATGGCAAGAAGTGTCTACATCGAATTTATTTATTTGTCTTGCTAATAAAAAACGAAACCAAAAGTTTGACATTAGAGAGTTGCAGACAGTCAAATCTTCATCACAGAGACCCGAAGTCCAGCTGAGGCTGTGCACGCAGTGCAGTGTGATGGCTGATGGGCTCTCCTTGACCCAGCTCATGGGGAAGCCTTCCCTCCTCCTCTTGCTTTTGCATGCGTGGCACTGCTATTTTCTAAACAGAAAGCTAAAACAGCACTATTCTTGAGCAATCATCTGAAACTTTTTTTTTTTCTCATGAATGTATTTGTACACCAAAGTTTTTTTTTTTTTTTTTTTAACAGTTGCAGAATTTGTACTCAGCACAGTTTAATAGGCTGATTGCTCATGTGATTTTCATGTATCGTTCATATATATTCATATATTTTTATCTTTGTGTGTGTGTATATGCATATATACAGCATGCTAATTCAAGTCTAGGTTCAGTCTTTGATTTCTGAAATCAGAAGGCATTTTTTTTATTTCTGTCACTGAGAGGAAGAATTTATGTGGAAATTTCAGTGAGTGTTTTAAAACCATGCTGGTCATCTCAGCAGCACTTGCTTTCTCTGATGAGAAAAAGATGTCATTTTATTCAAATTATTTATTTTGACTATTTATATTTTCTTAAAATTAAAAAAAATTCTTGAAAGGAAAAAAAAAAAAAACTTGCTCCGGAATAAATAAAATACAGTTACCATGCAGATGAGGTACATGACTCTTAGAGGGTACGTTAATTTGGTGGGGTTTTTTTGTTTTTTTTTTTCGCTCTAACGCTGATATCCCTGTTTTTAACAGACTATACCTGAAATACCTCCTAAACCTGGAGAACTGAGAACAGAACTCCTGGGTCTGAAAGAAAGATCAAGCCAAGTTCAAACATCACAGCATTGATCACAATTTAAGTTATGAAGACAAACTGGTAAAATTATGTATTTGTTTCATCTGCAAAATGAATTTAACAGTTCTTCAGTAAGATTTTACAGGACTTTGCAGTCTTTACTAGAAACCTGCCTGTGAAATACTGTGTTCCCTGAGTAGCATTTTTCTGTCTCTCTAAAACTAGAATTACAGGAAATTTAAAACTAAATGTATTAAGAATAGCGTTGTTGAGTCCAATGAGTTGTGCACCATGCTTCTGACTTTGACTGCAAGGTATCTTTCTGAACCAAAAAAAAAAAAAAAAATGTAAATTCACATTGGCTGTGTCTGATATACGTTTTGAATTGAGCTGTTTAAGATGTGTAGAAAGCTCAGCACATTGAAGTCGATCTTTTATGGATCCTCTTCAGCCTTAACAAGGTCACCCATTTTGCTGTAGCAGAAGCCTGTTTGTCTCACAAAAAGGGTGTTTGTCTCACCCTTTTTAAAACATTAAATCTTTTCTGTTAGATTCAAGACCGAATCTAATGTGGAAAGTTATTGCATATGAGAGCAGGGGTGGACTGCAATCCCCCTCCCAACCAGCCGCACCATAGGATGATTTCAGCAGCAAAGGCACCTTCCTCAGCGCCCGGATAACCACACTGGGCAAACAACCCCAGCACCTTGCTCCTGGGAGCAGCAGACAGCTCGTCCAGGGCTGGTGCATTTTGTCAGCAAGCTGACCAAAAACCTTGCACGGTTGCAGTGTTGTTCTTGTTTATAGCCAACACTTGTGGCACTCCAGCACACAGCTCAGCTGCATGTAACAGCCACGGTGGAGGAAGAGGAAGAAGCATGAACCACGACCCTCAACGTGTGCTCTTTTATTAGGTCTGAAATCCAGGCAGACATGGCATCCTGAAACCAACCAAGGCAGTGAGAGCTTTAACTGTRGAACAGAACAAAGGTTGCTTGAAATGGACAAATAATTAACAGATAAAGTTCTGTAGCAAACAACACTATGCTTCCAAGAATCTCCATTCTACAATTAACCATTAAAAAAATAATGTTTAAGCATACAGTAGATGCAAGTCACATACTATTCAAGATCAGTTATACATGAAGGATGTATATTAGTTTCTTTCTACTTCAGAAGACCTCTGACCGTATCTTTAACRCAAGGAAGCTTTCTTCACATTCCAACCTATAATGCTCTACGTTTAGTAGATGTATACCATCAAAATCTCAGGAGCAGTTGCTTGCTATAGGGCACAAAAGATAACTTGGACTGTTTTAGGAGGACTACACTTTAAAAGTAGACACTGCTTTTACACTATATGAAAAAGGAGAAGGCTGCTATTAGAGCTCATGCACTGTTAACTGCTGAACTGTGCTCAAAGTAGACCCCTCAGACAACTTAAGCAGAAAGATTCATTTGTTAGAAACAATACAGAAGACTGTGGCAATGAGACAAAACAAAACGAAGAAAACAAAAACAAAACACAACCAAACAAAAACCCCACACCCCCAGAAAGCTGCCTTTCCTGGAAGTCTCAAACACCTAATTTTGAAAACAACTCTATAGGAACCCTAACTTCATAACCATGCTGATACAAGTGCACCCATTGCGAAGGAACAGAATTATTTGGGCCATATAAAGTGAAAAGTAGCTTCCTTGGACCCTTAATTAGCATATTTTGCTTCAGACTGAAACTCAAGCTTTTGCCTAACRTCCCAGATCCGCTCTTCCAAGTCATGAACTCACAGATGGCAGAAAAAATACACTTTCTACTTACCCTGTGAAAATGTGTTTCAAAAGTAGAGGCACTAGTGGAAACAATAAAAATTCAGTGCTCAATCCAAACACCACGTAAAGCTGAGTGGAAGTGGTGCCCCTAGTTTTGCTGCTATTATTCCATTTGGTATCAGCAGCTAGATCTCGAGGTGGAGCGAGCACTTAAGTCACACCAGAGAAACCCAGGAACAAGAGTACTGAAAGTCTCGGAACAGAATTAAGGAACAACTGTCATAGCCAAGGAATCCACATTTAAAAACTTTTAGAAACCAGGGCTAGCTCTTAAGTGAGCCACACAGCTATGAGGCACTGTTACTGCACAGTAAAGAACACAGTCTTCCAGCTAGTAAGCCATTTTTCTGGCCACACCTGTGCTGGATTGAAACCCTTCTCACTTGTCTCCAACAAGGTCACCTCTGTCCTTTATGTTTAAGGAGTTCAGTTATATATTTAGCCCACTGCTATCATCTGTAGGCTGTGAAGTTGAGAGTTGGCTGCCATAACTACAGTTTCTTTACACTATTGTGGTTCAAACTAAGTTGCAGTACTTCACTTCAAACAGTATCTATTTTTAAATGCCCCATCTCTTATTTCTCAAGATGTATTCACATAAGTAGTCACATAACTTATGATTAGTCACTGGTTTATAGTTGAGCAGTGTAGCTGACATGTAACCATTTAGCTCAAAAGCAGGGCAGGTTTGACTACACCTAACTTTATGCACACAGCAGTGAAAGGAKGTGCAGCAGTGGGGGAAGGACCTCTGAACCACCACGCCAGGCTTCCTGTCATGCAGCCCTGAACACTCAAGCCAACCCAGGCAATCCCATCAATTCTCAGTAGTAGCCCAAAAGATGAGCTTACTATTTAACAGGGTTAACATGGTGTTTGGGAACATTTTATTTTGTACATGACAAGATTTTACACCAAGAAGTCAGTTAAATAGTACAAATTTACATTCATGAGGAATGTTTTAGAAAAGTCAACTTAAAAAAAAAAAATCCTTTGCCCTTAAACCCCCACCATCCCTCAACAAACAGAACAAACTCATTCCCATTCCCTAGCTCCCAACACAGGATGGTAGTTGCATGTAGTTTACAGTTCATCTTTCACATCTGTGGATTCCTGTGGAGTCAAGAAAGAGATAAATCAGACTTTTTGAGAAATKAGAAGATAGTAGAAGCTGTCCCAGAGGAACTAAGTTCATGAGAAGTACTATGTGACTTAACAAAGTGTCAATAACAGAAGTAACAAAATTTTTGAATGAAGAACTGTATTCAAATTTCTGTTCAAATGACATTAGATCTTCTCTAAAAGAAAAAAAAAACCCCAAAGCCTTATTTCAGGCTGCTCAGATGTGAAGAACAGAKCAAGTTTGCCGTTTTATCTTTAATACTTCAGGGTATTGAAGTACAGCCTACTCTGAAAGCTACTTTTCAAGCATAATATTATCGCAAGTATGTAAAATCAGAGATCATCTTGTGGGACATAGGTCTAAGAGCCAGGCAACACAAGAAAGGCAGAACCAATTAAGGATAACAGTGTTCAGAGATCCGAGTACTTGCATTTAGCACACCCACCAAGATATCATTAAAGCTGCACACATTATTATTAAGCAGCCAGGTCAAGGCTCACTCCTTAACTACTTAGTTAAGGCTGAAATAAGAACTAACTACTTAGTTAAGGCTGCAGTGTTGCTGCACATTTGACTGTTTTGCCCTTACAGGATTACGTAATGACAAAAAAAAGGGGCCATTTCTGTAGCTGCTTCTCTAAGAAACTCTGTGTGGCCATGAAGCACCACAGCCAGAACTGCAAGGAAGTCACTTCACCTTCTGTGTTTCACTTTCTTCGGCATCCACCTCCTCTTCATCTTGCTCTGCCTCCTCAGCTGCATCTTCAGGCTCTTCTGGCTCCTCCTCCACCTGTAGGAGGGTCACAGGCACCTTGCTATGCATTCTCAAGAGCTCTACAGCTCTGTTTGCTTGCKATGTTTGCTAGCAGGAAACTGACTAGCATAGATTCATTACTAGACCTTAAGTCTGACTAATTATTTTCCCCAAGCTTTCTGAGGGGCAGAACAAGTTATTCTCTACCACTGATATGCTCACTACTACCATGGTTCCTCTAGCAGGWTACCAACAAATTGTTGCACAGCATTACTCCCATATAGACACCATTTAGTTAAGGATTAGGTATTGTTTAACACAAAGCAACAGCAAGAGCATCATCTCAAGGGAAGGTCAGAAGCTTCAAGGAAAGTCTTSTTCTCCCTCCCTACCCTCCAGCCAAGAACTTGAGCTAGCCTCCCAAAAAGCCCACTTGCATGCAAGAAGCCATATGCCCTTAAGTCTTCTTCTAAGCAAGTTTATTATTGCTTTTCTACTTTAAAGAGGAGGAAAAARGTCACCCTTCAAATTGAAGGCAACTAACCTTTGCATCCAGGTCAATGTTTAAACTCAAACGAAGCATCCTTTCTATTCTATCTCCGTATTCCTTGGTGTCTGGTAGCATATATCCTGATCTCAAAGTTGCGGTTTCAAACAAGACCACTGCGAGATCTGAAACTGTTTTGTCATCTTCATTTTCCTAACATGGAAGCATTAAAAAGAAAAAAACAAACAAATATAAAACACTTAACTAGCTCATATGCAGCCACGTAGTCAATAGTTTACAGTTACTCATGTACCTTGACTCTCCTCAGCATGTCCTTTATCAGTGGATGCCTCGGGTTTATTTCAAAAGTCTTCTTTTGGCTGGCGTAATAGCTGCAAGTTAAATTGGTATTTAAGTGTTATTGTAAAGGACAACTACACTTTATCCCCATTAATAATCAATACAGGTACAGTAACTAGATCACCCCAAGCCAGCTGGGCTATCAACTACATTTTATATCCACTACATATGCATACTTACTTTGTAGATATATCCTTCCCAGTCTGGTAAGCCTGAGCCTTCATGATTCTTTCCATGTTACCAGACCATCCATACTGACTAGCCACGAGGGCACACGGGGACTGGGTTAAGCGTTGAGATAGTATTGCCTTTTCAATCTAGAGAAATAAAGGATCAGTATTAGTTCCCAGAATGAAGTTATTATGGAAGACAGCCAACAACTCTGAAATTGTATTTCACAGGGCCACTTGAGTGGCATTTGAGAGCTCTGTAACAGTAGGCAGTCTAGCTCAGTATCTCCCTCAAGTCACAGGTGTTTTAACCAACTTGGTATTGCCTTCTMTATAAGGATGGCAGAACAAGCTGTTATGTTCTTCATGTCCAAGGGGTTAGCACAGTGAACACTAGGGCAAGAAGTACCATATGCAAGGATGGGTTACACAGCCTAACTTCCTGTACCTTGTCCTTTAAAGCCTTGTCTTTCATCCAGTTTAAGAGCGGTTCAAATTCCTTTTCCAAAGCTTCGCGACTCTCCTTAGATTTTTCACTTTCTTCAAACTTAACTCCTTCCTTAGCTACATTCTGAAACCTCTTGCCATCAAACTCTGGCAGAGCCTGAATGCAGTACTCATCCACAGGCTCGGTCAGATAGATCACTTCATAGCCCTTCTTCAGAAGGCGCTCAACAAAAGGTGAGGACTCAGCCTGAAGAGAGAGAACAGACAATATTTTAGTTGCATTATCAGCAGCTAGCAAACACTGTACAGGCATTTTGATAAGCAGCAGTATGAAAAGTCTGAACTGTAGAAGTATCATGAAACAAACTCTACATTTATAGCAAATGCAGACAGTTCACAGTGGCAGTATTTCTGACTAGAAACATTCCCCCCGCTCCACCCTTTCAGTTCCATGCTCACATACCTCCTTCCTGCTGGCACCTGCCATAAAATATATCTTGTCCTGTTTCTCTTTCATCCTTTCCACATACTGATCGAGACTGGTGAGGTTACTTTCATGATGAGAAGACTGGAAGCGAAGAAGCTTAGCCAGTCGTGTGCGATTAGAGTGATCCTCAATCACCCCAAGCTTCACATTAGTTCCAAATTCTTTCCAGAACGTGTCATTGTATTTTTCTTCCGCAATTTTCTTGATCATATCAAGAGTTTTACGAACAAGTTTCTTTCTTATCACCTAAAAAAAAAAAAAAAAAAAAGTAATACAAAGTATTAATAGCTCATCTTAACAGTAAGCTTTTGATAACCTCAGGTACCAACTACCACCTTTGTTCTCTTAGCCGTTGCCACAATAATCCCACTCATCCCACAGGACTGGATGTTTTCAGTTTATAGAAGAACCTTCAATTTGCCCTTGCTGAGCGTGTCATTGT